GAGAAGCCTGCAGTACCCAGGCCATTGAGACCTGAACGGCTGCACAGAAAAAGCAGCAAATGAGTCCTGCGTCCACCAAGCAAGGGGGCACAAGCAAGTTCTGGAGGTATGCACCACTTCCAAGTCCTCAAGGAAAATATTTGATAGCAAAATAATCCCTAGACCCAGTCGATCAAAACTCATTGTCTCAGCCCGTCAAGCCCTGGTGGATGTCAGTTTTAGAACTGTCCAAGCCAGAAAGTGCAAAAGAGCAGGGCCATCAGTGTGACTGGTACCCCTGCTGAAGGCCACCCATGGGCCCTGTTCTTGCAGGCCAGTCTGAGTAGAGATACGTGCCAGGCTTGGACTTTACCAAAGCTGCATCCTTGGGCAAAACCCCACGGGCAGCCTCTCTGGGATAAGATTTGGGCACGAGGCCTGCAGGAGAGGCCGCACTCTGGGGAAGGTGCGCTTTCCTTTTGCTGGCAGAAGCCAGGGGTGCAGCTAACATGCATATGCACAGCAGCAGCTGGCGCTGGGGTCCAAGACCCTGTACCTTGGCGCAGGCAAGCACCAGGATTTCCTGGGACAGGAATTAAGGACCCACCCTGGCCTTTCCCGGCCTGATTTCCTGAAGGAGCCAACCCACAGAGGGGCAGCTCTCCTGCCCCACGGAGCAGCCACGGAGGCCTCAAGGCTGCCACTGCCCTACTCACATGGAGTGGGTGAGGGTCAGGCCTCTGGGGACAGCTCAGAAGGCTCGGGGCTCCTGGTGACTCTGCCCAGGTCGGATGGGCACAGGGAGCAGCACAATCGCCCTGCAGGTGCTCTGGAGAGATGGGGTGTCTGAGAAAGTGCCAAGGTCTGTGGGATCCCTTGCTTTGTCGGACCCTCCCCACTGTCCTGGGCTGGAAAGGAGGTTGTCTTTAGGCGGAAAGGCAGGGAACACATCTGTCAACATCTGGGAGTTTTCTTTTTTAGTTCAAAAGACACGATCCAGGTTTAAACAAAAAAGAAGGGGAATGTATTGAGGCAGGTAGGTGGTACCTCAGGGACTGGGCAGGAGGTACAGGGCCTCCCTGGGAGGGCCCTCCCTGGCAACAGCCCCACCTCTCTTCTCTCAAATATTTCTGAAGACCCTTTTGCTACTCTGAAATAAAACTGACTTCCTAGGCATGACTGTCCATACACTTTTGGAAATAAGGTATGCACAACAAATGTTCTATAAGAGCTGTGAAGCCTGGCGTGGCAGCACACACCTATGATCCCAGCACTTGGGAGGCTGAGGCAGGGGGGTTGCCAGACATTCTAGGCCAACCTGGACTACAGAGGAAGGTGAAGGCCGGCCTGGACTATATAGTAATATCCTGTCTCAAAGAAGCAAACAAACAGAGGTGAGAGAAAAGCCATGCCTGTGACACTGCAGGGCCGCGTGCCTATGCCGCACAGCAGCAGGAGGAACACCAGGCAGTGAGTGCGGTGCCTGCGCAGGCTTCTGTGCCACTCATAAGGAACAGCTGAGCTAAGCAAAAGGCCCAGGCCCCATGATTCCTGTGCAGTGTCTACACCACACATGATGAACAGCTCTGTTATCGGACATAAAGTCTTAACCCAGCTAGGGAAATGGCTCAGCAGCACACGCACCTGCCTGGAAATCTCAAGGTTCTTAGCTTGATTTCTGGAAAAAAAAAAAAAAAAAAAAGCCATAGCCTGGCTCAAACAGCTCTGTAGCCACTATGAGTGCCGATGGGATCTGGGAGTGTGATTACAGGCCAGTTCTGCCCCTCTTCAGGTGACCATGTGAGAACCTGCCCGTAGGCTTCCAAACACCCATGTGGCAGCGCAGCCTCCATCCAGACCTGTGGGGCCCTGGTGCCTGACCACCACCACCCAAAAGGGCCCCGGGGGCCCGGGGACCTGAAAGCCCCAACCGCGTTTGGAGATGGCGCTGTGTGCACGAGGCCCGCCTCTCTGGGGGAGCACGCAAAGCTGGGGCGTGGTTGAGGAGAAGCCCAGCCCCTCCCAGGCCCAGGAAACGTAGAAAGGGCCTGTGGCGGACTTGGGCTTCCTTGTTGACTTGAGAAGCTTCCTGGAATTGGTTTGCTGGGCACTGGATGCTCTTGGGAGGTGGGGTCATCAGCGGGGCTTTTTCATTTCACCTGGAAGGGAACAGGCATCCCACTGCAGCGGGTTCCCAGAAGCCGCGGACACTCACAGCAGCCAGCAGAGGGCGCTGCTCGACACGCTGTGATTGGTCACAGGTCAAAGCGCGCTGTGCTTTGGTTCCCTGTCGGCTCCCCAACCCTATCCTGTGTGTCCTGGGAGCCCTTCTGGGCATGGTACAGCCACCCCGGGGTGCTTTTGGGGCTGCTGCTCTTTCTCCTAACGCTAGCCCCTTATGAGGTCCAAAGCTCCACCACCCTGCTTGGGACCAGAAGGCAGGAAGCACTCCAAATTCTCAGCAGGAGCAAGAGGCAGACAGGGCACCCAGTGACTTACCAGGAAGAGCCCAGGATACCCCCACTTCCCTATCCCAAGACAACACCAGAGAGAAGGGGCCCCTGGCTGGCCCTGTCCATTCCCAAGAGACAGCAGAGCTTGAACTGCTGAGTCCCTGGAAGTGACCAGCTAGGATCTGCTTCTGAGAACTCCAGGGCAAAGAAAGCTAGCTGTGATGAAAATAAACTTCATTCATACACACAGGGCAGGCTGGTGTCATGGTGCACACTTGCAGTCCCAGAACTCCGGGAGACTGCGGCAGCAGGATCGAAAGGTTGGGCCCAATCTGGGCAATGTAGCAATTGAATGAGACCTGATCAGAGCCATCAGCAGCCCCTCCACATCCTATGGAGCAGCCAGGACTGCACCTCTCCCAACAGGGCCTGTATTCCGCACACACAAACCCCGGCCTGCCTCAGGGTGCCTTAGCGCATCCCTGGCCCCAGACAGGCTGGGCTGGAGCCCTGAGAATGGGCAGGAGTGAAGAACAAGGAGGGATGGCTGGTGATCCCCTCCTATGGGTAGAGGGTGTGACAGGTCCCTGGAGAGTATCGCAGGGCCCCAGAGTAGGGATTTGCTCCCTGGCCTTGGATGTAGACACCTCAAGGAAGCTGCACTCCCTTGCCAGTTTCCTGGTGTTAGCAGAATGCCCAAGGCTGGGCACTAAAAACAAATGGGGATTTATGGGCTCCTAACTCTGCAGGCCAAGAGCACAGTGGGCAGCATCATGCTAGCAGGGGCAACACCAGGATCACGCGTTGAGAAGGAAACTGGGGGTAGGGTTGCCAGCTCCTTCCCACCAACCAGCTTCCAGGAGCTCTCTTCTTTCTAGTGCGGATATCTTCTCAGCAGGATGACCCCCATGCCCCACTGAGAGGTCCCCACCCCCACATCACCACCCTAGGACTCAGCGTTTAAATGAGGACCCCCTGGGGATGCCCTCGGCTACCCGGAAACATAGCAGCATCTGGCACTCTCTCATGATGGACAGTCCCCAGGGTCACTTCCTGTTGGGAGCCAGCTCCACCCTGCACAGCCAAGGCAGCCAGAGGGTGGGAGAAACTTCTGGAAGGGGCACAAAGCACTATTCCATCTACACTGGAACCATGGGGCTGGAGGGACAGAGCAGCACCCCAGGCCGAGGGAGTGGTCTGGGATAGACTGGTGTCTCAGGTCCCTGCTTGCGGGGACAGGGCTGAAGCACAGTGCAGGGTGTTTAGAATCCACGGGGAGGGGGTAGGGCTGGAGGACAGCAAGTGCAGGCCAGGAGGCCTTTGGAGTCACAGGATGGTGGCCACAATAGTTCCCAATGACCAGGGTGAGAGAGGAAGCAGATCTTAGCTGTCCACCCTGGCCCAAGGTGGAAGCCACCACAGTGACCTGAGGCCAGGGACACTGGATCCCTCCTCCAGTAGGATGAGGCTTTACCTCTCAGGCTCTGCTGGTCACCTTGCAAAGGAGACAGCCCCATACCCAGGCTGCCAGGAGGGCAACAGGTTTCTCTCCAAGAAGGTGTGGGAGGGGTACACCGGAGGGTCACTCCAGACCAGCAAGGGGTGCTGCTGGTAACTAGAGTGGACCAAGCGCTTCAGATTCCTGGACTGGGTCCCTCTGAGCTGGGACCTTTGGACACCTAAAGAGATATTGTCCCCTCAATTGCCAGTCAAGGATGGAAAAGCTTAGGGCTTCAAGGCCAGGGAGGCTGCTAAGGGAGCCAGTGTCTTTCTCAGAGGAAGAAATCAGAGTCCCCCTAAGACCCCCAGGGCCATGTGTGGGGGTGTGATGGAGGAGTCCCCACAGGACCAAAGTGCTGCTCAGCCAGGTGGCATGGTGAGAGCTGGGGATGGGGTGGAGCCACCCTGGAGGTGGGCTGGGGTGAGCACTGTGGGGGGTGTGAGATGAGCTCCTCAGGCTCCTCGTGCACCTGTTCTGTGACACCAGCTGCAGCCACAGTGAGAGGACCCCACGGTGTTTCAGGGCTAGGCTTAAGAAGCAAACAGATACAAACAGTGCGAGCCTGTAAGGGGTTCTTGGTTTGCTGTCTTCACCAGACACACAGAACTGGATTTTTGTTGTTTTCATGTTCAGGGCACTGGGCACTAAGCTCAGGGCCTCTGCCCTGGGCTACATCCCCAGCTCTTTTTTACTTTGAGACAAGGTCTGGCTAAGGTGCTTAGGCTGGCCTCAAACTTTTAATCACCTGCCTCAGCTTCCTAGCATGCTGGTCCACAGGGGTGTACCACCACACCGGGATATTAGTGATTTTTAAAACTTAGGTATGAGATGGTCCTTCTTGGTTTACAGAGGAGAGGGGTCATACAGAAGATTTCAGGTCTCCCCAGTCACGTGAGCTGCTGGGTCTTGCATCTGTTAGGGCTCCTTGGAGTCTGTTTGACACCCCTCCCCCCCACACACACACGAGAGCACATGGTAGAATACAGAAACGCGACAGAGAGTCTCAGGAGTGAAGAGGTGTCCTCATGCTGACACAGGATCTTTATTCTTTAGGACACAAAGCCCTGCCATTAATCCAACTCAGCAGCATGCTGGCCAGAGGCAGGGGTGGGACTCTCAGCCTCTGGAGCTGGGGCCCCTTGCAAGGCGACAGCAGGCAAGCTTCAGAACGTGCATTCTGAGAACAAAGCAGAGGCTCAGTGAGCTGTCTTCTCCACTCCAGCAACCTGACCTCCCCAGGATCCCACCATGGGTGACAAGGGGACCTGGGAGAGCCTGGGACGATAGGGGAGCTGCGCTTGGAGGACAGGTTGTGGGGCAGGCTGGAAGAGCCCTGGGAGCATCCCCTGTGGTCCCAGACTGAAAGGGCCTCCTCCTGCTCTGCTGGTGGAAGGGAAGGCAGGGGCAGGACTTCCATCTTTGGTTGGGGACATAGCAGCTGGGACCAGGCCTCCCTTCTGCTGTCCTGGGACAAAGGGCATGGCTCCCCCTTGGATGCCCATTCTGGGTAGGAGCTTAGAGCAGGTGTGGCCTTCCTAGAAGTTGTGCTGGCACCTGGGCATGCCAGCTGGCTGATAGAGGACAGTCACACCCTGTGCGGGGTGGGCCCATATGAGCCATGACAGCAAACCACCTGCTGTCTACACTTGGTCCCTCCCAGAGAGGGTTCCAGAGGTCACCCTACATGGCACCCTGAAAGCCACCCAGCTGCTGTCTGCAGTGAGCACCTCACAGATGCAAGGCACTCTGGGTGGTTGGTTTGCTGATTAGCCCCAGTGTATAGCCCAGCTCTCCAAGCCCCCCCGCCCTCCACCCCCCTTCTCTCTAGGGCAATTTTTAAAGTAGTGCCTTCTGCACAAGGCCTCCGCTTAGAACATCTTGTGGAAACTCTTGCTTTTCTGTCTTACAGAAAGGGGCAGTCCCTGGCTACTAGCAGCACGGCCTGAGGCCTCATGTGGGAGACAGGCGTGACGCCCAGTGAACTGCCAAAGCCACGGCTAGTGCAGCTTCCTGAGGACCTGAAGTGTGCGCCTCTGGGTTTCCCAAGGTGCCCTGCACCACCACTGGCCTCACCTGTCTCCTGTAGAGGCTTGAAGCACCAGGGAACATTCCGTATGCTGTTGTCAAAGCAGCAGCCCCGGTTGTTGCACTCCTGCTTGGTGACCCGGGGGTAGCCGCAGTCCACCCTGTCCTTGGCGGGGACCGTGCATAGGTGTTCCGCTGTGCAAACCACAACCAGTCAGCTGCAGGTGTCCTTGCTTTGGGGCTGTGTGCTACATTCAGCACACGTCTGAATCTCACCCCACCTCTACTCCCCTCGAGGTGGCCATGCCCGCTGCCTCAAGGGTGGGCTTCCCAAGGGGACTGTAAAGAGACACTGCTATTCACGCTCAAGCCAGGGAACCTGGCCACCTGCACAGGTGCCTAGCATGTTCCTCTCACCCAGGCCTAGGTACCCTCCTGCTTGTGGGACCTGTGGGACTTGGGGTCCCCAGAGCCCAGAAGAGTGTCCTCTTTCTTGTTTGATCAACAAAAAACTTGACCTTTTTCTTAAAATGAAAAGTGTGCTGTGAGATCTAAAACTGCCTGCTGATGGCAGCTCTGTGTCCCCAGTGCTCACCTTACCACAGTGTCACCCAGCGCCTGCGGTTCACACAGGCCTGGGTGTGCATGTGTGCATGCGTGTGCTTACACGCACAGCAAAGCTCACCTGCCGCAGTAACTAACTGCGTTTTCCCTTAGAAAATAGAAACCTGGGGGCCAGGGAGATAGCTCAGTGGAATAAGTGCTTGCCTGGCAAGAGCAAGGTCCTCAGTTTGATCCCTGGTACCACCAAAAAAAAAAAAAAAAAAAAATAGAAACCAACCCAGAAGCCCCCAAACCCCTGTGACTGCAGCCGGGATCACCCGCCCTGGCTGGCTCCCAGCTCCACCTCCCTGGCCTTCCACTGTGTCTGGCTCCCTGTGCAGCCAGGGTCTCCCAGCTTTAGGAGTACGAGGCTGGGTCTGGGAAGTGCCGCCTTCCCTGCTCTGGAGATCCCCCGGCATGGGCCATGATCTGCCTAGAGCTTCGAGGTGCAGCCCTCGGAAACCATGCGCATGTGTGTTGGGACCACTCTCCTGTCCTTTACTCTGTCCCTGAGTCTGCAGCAGTGATGACCAGCTGTGTCCTTTAGAAATCTCAGGCAAAGAAAGCAAGGAGACCACCCTGAGCTCCAGCCCTGATTCAACACCAAACAGAAAGTTGGCTTTAGGTACAGAGACAACCTCTACACCTCAGTGTCCTCGCCTGTGAAATGGGGACAGTAAGTCCCATGATCTGGGGTTATTGCAAGAAAATCTGTGCATGGGACAAAAGCTAACGGTTACACTGACACGGTGCTCAGCCCCTGAGAGCACCCTGTCTCCCTGGGTCTCATGTCCCCTCCCTGCACCCAGGGCAGTTGGCAGTACTCACACAGTCCAACAAACTCAGCAGCCCAACCCGAGGACCCCAAGGTCACAACCAGCAGCAGCAGCCAGAAAGCTCTGGTCTCCATGACGATGTATGCAGTTTAACCCTGGGTCTGGATGTGGCAACTGCCCCAGGCAGCACATTTATAAGTGCCCAGCCCAGCCTCTCCTAGCCAGTGTTTGTTTGGGGAGGGGACCTCTCCCTGGTTCTGACTCTGCCTGCTTCTCTCCTGTGAGGTAATGAAGCTCCCTGAAGACTTATCTGTGTCCCCCAAGGGTGGCAGCCAGGGCAGAGTTCACTTCCTCCAAGCTCCAGCTGGGGACAGGGACACTGCAGGTACAGTGCCAAGAGCCTGGAGAAGAGCGCCCGTGCCCCCAGCGCCAGTTCAGTCAGTCTGGTCGTGTACCAGAGATAGAAAGTTTTTTCCTTTTTGCATCTTATCAGCAAAACCATTTTTTATGAACTACATTTTAGTAAATTCATGAAATGTGGTTGCTCAATACACTTGAGTAAAACCAGAATACACTCCTCAGTTCCGAGAATCAACTTCTGGAGACAACGTCTGTGCAGAGGCAGGCTCTCAGCAGCTTCCTGGCCCCAAGGGGGGCGAGGGGGGCCGGTGCCCACCCCACCTGGTGCCTCTGCCTTTGTGTTTCTTTGCATGTGTGTGTGTGTGCACACGCACGCATGCATACACACACACACACACACACACACACACACACACACACACTATAGGAAAGCAACTGTACAACTTCCCCAAGTTAGGTTTTTCTTTTTCTTTTTTTCAATAAGCACTGTATCTCTTTTTTAAAATACGAACTGGTTTTTATATTAATTTATTTCATTTTTAAGTTTTATTTGTGGTGTTTCAGTGCACAGTGTCAGCACTCCTTGTGTAGACCTGTTGTGTGTGCACAACAGTTTAATACTTTTTGCAGTCCTGTCCCCTTCCCCTCCCTCTCTTGGCCTTTTTCTCTTTCACAAAAAGATTGGTCTCCCTGTTTCCTGTCATCTATCTTTCATTTTCTTCTTTAACTGATTTGTACTTTGGGTTTCTTATATAAGAGAAACCATGGGCTATTTAATCTTCTGACTTACTTCACATAGCATTGTGGTCCCAAGGTGCACCCATTGCCTAGAAATGACTCCACTTTATCTTTTTTTATGGCAGAGTGGTACTTCGCTGTGTGTGAATACATTTGCTTTATCCCTTCGTCTGTTGATGGACACAGAGGCCGCTTCCACGAAGCAGCCGTGATGAGCGGCGCTGCATACACAGGGCTCTGCACTCTGCGTTGGAGATTGCCTTTCACAAGCACATCTGGAGCTAGATGGGCCAGGAGACTTGAACCTGACTCTCAGGGGAAGAAACCAGGGCTCCACACTGAAGGCTCCTGCAGAAATCGTCCCCCTACACACAGCCGGGACCACCTGTGCAGGACTCAGGTCTCAGGACTCCCATCCCCTCAGTGCAGCCAGGGGAGGCGGCTGGGAACTGGCCTCATGCCTAGGAAGCTCAGGTCTCAGGACTCTCCGGAGTCCTCCCTGGCTGCATGGTGCAGATCCAAGGCACAGGTGTCTCTGTCCACTCAGGCCTGGCCCCAGGCAGGGCGCACAGGCTGTGTGCAGGGACTGAGTTGTCCATGGAGTCGTCCTTGGAGCTTCCCCTCACTGAGTGGCTCAGGGAGGCAGTTGTCACTCACGGGGGCCTGAACGTGTCCCATCCATGACACTGGGACTGTGCCCAGGTGGCCCTCCACTGTGGCCCAGGCTATTGCTCCTTCTGTGGCTGGGTGGTCAGGAATGGAAGGGGGAAGAGCACACCTGTGCTGCCCCAGCCGCTCTTTCTCCAGGACCATGGGAACAGGCTGAGTTTTCACAGGATGGGGAGTCACTGTGCGGAGCTTCCAGGAACCTGTTCTGGGGATCCCCCTCCCACCCTGTCCCTGCACACCCAGTGGGTCATGGGCAGGGCACAGGAAAGCCCCGGCTGCAGGAAGCTTGGCCCTGTGCCCGCAATCTAGCGACAAAGACAGGCATCTGAGCCCCTTGAACACCTCTCCCTGCACACCCAGTGGGCAGTGGGCTGAGTCCAACTCTGCCTACCTGTGCCTCAGTTTCTCTGCCTGTCTCATAGCACTCTGATGCAGCAATAAGCCAGGTGCTTAGGGACAGGGGACAGACACCAATCATCTGCTAGGTGTGAGTCAGCAGCCCTGGTAGCCAAGGGACCACAACCATGTCCCCTGCCCTGATAGAGGTGCAGCTAAGGCTAGACAGGGGCAAGGTATTGACGTATGGGCTGCAGAGACAGTGGCCACGGTGCATCCCTCTGAAGGACCTGGGGCAGCAGGGCCCACCTGCCTGCTTTGTCCTTAGGGAGGTCCAGGCCCCACCTGGAAGACAGCTTGCACCAGGCTGCAGGCCGCGCCCTGGCAGGTGGCAGTCACAGGCTCCCAGAGCCTGGATGAGCAGATGCTTTGAGGCCCAGCCTTTCTCCTCACTCCTTGGCTCTCAGCCAGGTGCAATGCAGAGCCCCAGGAGCCCTGCCCTTTCCTGCCCTCGCCTTTGGTGCTTGGGTCTGAGGATAGACAGGATCTGTTGGTCAGATTCAAGAAGTGGGCAAGCTCGTCCAGATGCTGGGGCATTCAGACAGCAGGCAGTTTTCTGACCTCAGAGCCTAAAGCCAGGTGGGGACACACAAGCCTTACTTGTGTGGCAATATGATTCAAGCTGGCAAAACAGGATGAAATTCAACTGGGTCTTGAGGGATGAGTAGGAGTTCACCACAGGAGTTAAGGTCAGAAGGGCGATCCAGACAGAGGCATGCCCACCTGACATGCCTCACTCCATTCCTGATGCTGCACTCTCGGCTCCTACACAAGAACAAGTGCGGAGGTAGCTGGGCCTCCCAGGGACCCTCTGACCAGTTGTGCCCACACATAGCTGCCTATACTTGGCCTCCTCCTGCACGGTCTCACCTTGCCTCCCAGACAGGGCTTCTGGCCAACTGAATCAGAACCCTCATGGCCACTCCCAAACATGGTGACCACTGGGATCCTTGGTCTGGGATAGATGGGGTGGGAACCATGCAGACCTGGTTGTGCCTACAGGAAGGGGCCCTTGGCCAGCCTGAGGCTCTTGCCTGAAAGTGGCTCAGACACCTGTTTCCCCATGTGAGAGAGGGGACTTCCACCTCCAGGGGTCCTGGGTAACTTCGGCTACATTGGAAGCCACCAGGTATGCCTGAGCTCCAGGGCTCTGGGTTGGGACAGTTGCATCAGCCAGGATTCCAGAAACACCCTGGGACAGAGATAAGTGGGAATTTCACGGTGGACAGCTGCACAGCAGAGGGGCCTGGCCCCGGCCCGCCCCGGCTGAGGCCCAGACACCTGTGGACCCGGTTCCTCCCTCGGCCTGGCGCTGGCCCTGATGGGCAGTGGAGGCCGCCCTGAGTCATACCAGGATGTGCAAGCCTGACAGCCCAAGAGCTGTGCAGATGTCCTGGGGACCAGGAGTGAGTCACTGCTGTGTGCCAGCATCGGGCCTCACACCTGCGCATGAGTGGGGTCACTGAGGGTTCTCTAAGGGCTCATGGCATTCGGGGGGCCTCAGAATGGGACTGCATTGAGAAATAGGGGAAGTTATTGATTAAACTATAATAAAATCATCTTAGAACCAATCTAACCCATGTCACAGAGGAAGAGAGAGATGGCAACAGACACAGGGAGGACAAGGTGACACCAGCACATAGGCCGTCATGCGATGGCAGAGGTGGGGCTGGTGCAATGCATGCACAAGCTGATGCACGGGCAATAGGGCCTGAGTTTGGGCCTGCAGACCTGGGGCGACAGGGTGCTGTGGTTTGAGCCCACATCTTTCTGTCTTTCCCTGCTTCTCCGTGCTGGGGTGCTGGTTTCTCAATTGCTTAGCCTGACCTATGGACACTGCCCATCCCTGATGATCTCTCCTGTCTGGCCCAACCCTGCCACCTGGTTAGCTGGGCAGGCTCTGCCCATGCTATTAGCGCTGTTCCTCTCTAGGACTTCTGGGCCCCATCCCTGCCATCATGTGTTCTTCCTCTTCCCAGCCACCACCTTTCCCTGACTGTTGGTATCTATAAACCAGTGGTCGAGTTGGTCAGTAGATTTTCTGTGTCCTTGGCCCTGGTCCTGCAGTTACCCCCAGTGTCCTTGTGGTGGGAAGATTAAGACAAGGTGGGTTGGGGGAGGAGCGGGGCTATCGTTTCCTGATGGCTAAACAGCACAGGGACACGCTCCACAACAGAAGCTGGCTGTCACAACAGTCGAGGCCCAGCACCTGCCAGACTCTGTCAGAGTGGCCGTGGGTACTTTCACCAGCACAGCCACCTGCATGAGGACTGTGCTCCCCGACAAAGCCACTCCCGGGCCACAGTCATTTCCAAGTCCTCTTTGAGAGACATTGTGATATAGATGGAGAAGGGGAAGGGATGCTCCCCTCATGCTGGAGCAAAAGACATAGCTGAGAAAGCCAAGCAGGAGGTGCTGTGCCCTGACGCGCATGGCTGGGGACCGCCAGAGTGTGCACGGAACACAGCCAGGCACTGCAGAGCCATGATCAGCGGACAGCAGACTGAGGACAGCTGTGCCTGGTAACAGCTTTGCTGTGTGTACACACAGATACCAGGACAGTGACAGACTCCCTAGGACAGGGTGAAATGCTATGGGCTTCTCTAATTTATGAGATGTCGCCAAAACTCTGCCAACTGGGGGGCGGGGACCAGGGACGCTTGATCCCAGTTGCTATTTCTCCACAGCCATGTCAATAACGCATGTTATCAGTATAACCTGGTACGAGTGAAATAGTGTTTTCATGTGGGTTCATTTTATAATTCTCTAAGTTTTAGTGAGCTCGCGCCTCATCCATACCAATATTGGCTGTTTAGGTTTCTTTACAGCTACTACCCTATTCATGTATTTTTATTAAAAAAAATCTGTTTTTCACCTTTTTCTCATCACAGTAGCCTTATGTATGCTCCATAGCAACTCTTCGTCAGTGATGTGGGGTTCTCATATCTTCTAGTTGTGGCTTGATATTTTT